GAGAGCATGAGAGGGAGGAGGGTCAGAGGGAGAAGCAGACTCCCCGCCGAGCAGGGAGCCCGATGCGGGACTCGATCCCGGGACTCCAGGACCATGACCTGAGCCGAAGGCAGTCGCTTAACCAACTGAGCCACCCAGGCGCCCAACAATTTTCTTTATCCTTTTCAGATACGATTAGGAGAGAGATCAGGCCCCCAGCTTTTTCTAAATCTACACAGGGATGTTATGAGCTCCCAGGAGGAGCCCAAGGGCTTGGGGCAGTGCGCTCACGTGCAAACAGGAGCTACTGGGGAGGGGGCTGCCCCGTGACATGGAGCATCTTAACGCACCCACCACAGCCCCAGAAGCTGACTTTCAGAGACGTGAGGATATGTGGATAAAGAAAAACCCAGAGTTAAAGCGAGGCTTGACTCTAGTTCCAGAACTGGAACTGACCAAAGATAGAAGACGGACACTGAATCAGAAAAATGCTGGGAGTCCATCTAACTAAGAAAAGGCATTTGCCAGGCTTTCAAAGGAAACGCACCTCATGCCAGGAGTTCCCAAGGTAGTTGCCATCGGTGTGTGCCACTGTTATGAGCGTCTTTATGGTGTCGATGTTTTTCTGCTTCATTTCGGTGATGCTGGAGCTGGCCGTCAGCAGGGAGAAGCGAGCAAGAGCCTGAACATAGGCATCTCGCTCCAACTGCAACGAAGTCCAAGCAAGAAAGCGTGCTGAGATTCCACCCTTAGCGTGCCCGTTGGCACATCCACAGGCCTGTGTGTGCACTGGGCTCCTGATACCTTCTGTACAAACACCACCTAACGGGCTTCACGCACATCAACATGCCAGTTATTCTGTGCTGACGTCCTCCTGCTCCTGAACATCCCTGTGTGCCATGTGGCTGAGAGCCGGCTCTCTCCTTCGCAGCTGACCTCAAACTTAAATTCCACGTTCCCTTCCCTCTGGAGGGAGCAGGAGAGGAATCTGTTGAATGCTAAGATTGCCACATACACTCCAGTTTCTGCAACAATCTTGCAAGGTAGGCCTATTTTCTCAACTCTACCGAAGAGACCAAGCATGTCTTAGAGAGGAGTTAGCTGGGCCAATGTCACGTGGCTAGAGAAAGGATCTGCAACCCAGACTGTCTGGTGTCAAAGCCTGTGGTCTTGGTACAGAAGAAAATGTCTAACTGTAAAATACATGGGAATAGAAGATTTGAGTTTTTCAAAATAAATGGGTGCAAATTCTTACTTAGGAAGTGATGCATGGGACCGACAGCCTCCTAATTTCCTAAGAGTTTAAGAATTGTATTTTGTGTAGTTGCTTTAATTTTTCAAGATTCAAAGGCTTATAGACATATTCATTTTGCAGTAAACTATCTGTTTCCCCCAGAGAAGACTTGGAAATGAAGGACATTATGATAAAAACTGATCTTAAAAGGAAAAGTAATATTTTAGCACTAGGGCAGCTAATTAGGCAGGTGGATAGGAAGTCTGTTTTGTCAAACCCAATCAAGTAGCTTAGACCCCACCTACTCGCTAAAGAAGGTTACAATCCAAATCTCCAATTTTCTCCCTAATGAGGCTGTTGTCAGCACAAATCTGTGGGCTTCCTCTCAGCAGGCATGAGTAGGTAGTTTGCTGAGACTTTTTTGGCTAATTGGAAATGTCTGATAGTTTCTAAATTTTGCCAAATCTGAAAGAACACAGCCCACCACCATCTCTGGAGCCCTGCTAACTTCCACCCACCTGCATTCCAAAGATACAGGCAATCCGGATTGCACATCGGATGCCCTCCAGACACAGGGAGGCCACCTCCGTATCGTCACAGTTCTGCAGTCCGATGCTGTAGGCTGCCAACAGCGGCGTCCACACCAGCTGAAAGGAAGCGAGGTTTCCATCATGTCTAGAGTTTCAGCATGGAAAGAGCACTTAGAGGCCACGCTGTTAGTTATGAGCACAGCCAGGATGCCAAGTTCACTGCTATTCTGATTTCAATCTACTCCACTCACAATATTAAATGATTCCTCCTCAACTGTGGTCAAAGGTGTATAGATATGCTCCGTACTAAATGTACAGCTCAAAAGGAAGGAAGAAAGATAAATAGTGGCTAGCATGCCATCACCACATCGACCTGCGCTGGTGGCAGACATCACGCATCAACTGGAGAGCCTACTCCTTGCCAAGTCTATTCAGGGCACGAGAACCCTTCTCTGCAGAGTGCAGGCAGGCAGGGCCAATCAGAGGCTGGCACACAAAATAAAACCTACACACAACTCATACTCTGTAAACTTAATTTCTTGAAAGGTTCCTAATTCAAATTATTTAGACTTGGGCGCCTGGGTGGCTCAGTTGGTTAAGCGACTGCCTTGGGCTCAGGTCATGATCCCGGAGTCCTGGGATCGAGTCCCGCATCGGGCTCCCTGCTCAGTAGAGAGCCTGCTTCTCCTTCTGACCCTACCCCCTCTTGTGCTCTCTCTCTCTGAAATAAATAAAATTAAAAAAAAAATTATTTAGACTTTACTTTTCCTCCAATTTTCCTGTGAATTCCCTGGAAATAAAGGTTCACAAAAATCTAGAAGTGCTCAACTAACAGGATATTGACAGCTACTATAAAAACACCTTAGAGAAAAATTATGTGCATGTCTATAAGGCATGTACCTTTTCTAGACATTTTAAAAACAGAGAGACTTCAGGATACTGTCTTTTATTTCCAACTAATTTCATCTGGTAAACTAACCCTGAGGCCACAGAGGTGAGAGGTCAAAATAAAACGACCTCTTTTGCCTGAATAATTCTTCATTCATTCAGTCCCCCAGCAGCCCCAACAGCATCCCTGTGTTTGTCCCCATTTTACCGACGATGAACACAGAGAGAGGCTGAGTAAGCTGACCAAGGTCACAGAGCTACAAAGTGGCAAAGGCAGGATTCAAACTAGCCATTCTGACTGTGGAGCCCACGCTTATGGCTGGCACTGGCACATCCCCTGCATCATCAAAGGGCTTCTGGGAAGAACTCACTTGAGTGAAGCACCCAGACCTGACCTTTCCTCTCCTCCACCTCTTCACCATTACAGAGGCACTGGTTAGCTTCTAGCTGGTCACCTGCAGAATCAGGCCGAGCCAGGTTCTAGCTTCTCAGGATACTCACTTTGAACATTGGCCGGACATGGTCCAAGTGAGTGGCGCTGGTGAATGGGGCCTTGGCATGGCTCACAGCCTCCATCAGAGCTTTGGCTGTTCTAGCCATTTGCTCCATCTCCAGGTTGTACAGCAGCCGTCTCTGTTTTTCACTAGCTACGCCTACAAAGAAATGAGAGTCTAATAGCAGCCGCTGACACCCACTGAGCGCTCGCTGTGGGCTAGGCACGGTTTTAAAAGATTTACAATGATTAAGTCACAAATCCTCCTGAGCACCTCTGTGAGTGTGTTCCAAATATTACCATTTTACTGAAGGGGGAAATGAGGCACAGACAGGCTCAGCACCTTGCCCAGGGACACACAGCCAATAAGCAGTGGAGGTGGGACTTGACCCTGGCCAGTGTGGCTCTGCAGCCTGTGCACTCAATCTCTATGCTCTGCTGAAGCCGAGAGTGTCACGGGCCTTCCCTCACACAATTCTCATCAAGGTAGGCACCATCACCAGTGGCATTAAAGCAATTTTAAGGAACACTGTGTGGGATAATTTAGCTCTCAGATTACTCATTTTAAATTCCTTCTTATAACTAATCACAAATCTAGCAAGAAGATGGTTATGAGAGAATCAACATAATCACACTAACTGATTTAAACACATTTACTGGGGCGCCTGGGTGGCTCAGTCGTTAAGCGTCTGCCTTGGGCTCAGGTCATGATCCCAGGGTCCTGGGATCGAGCCCCGTGTCGGGCTCCCTGCTCAGCAGGGAGCCTGTTTCTCCCTCTCCCACTCCCCCTGCTGTATTCCCTCTCTCGCTATCTGTCAAAAATAAATAAAATCTTTAAAAAAATAAACAAACACACTTACTATTCAGATACCTAGATACACGAAATTATCAGGGAACTTAATCATGCAATCTGATACACTTGAAAATTAGGATTAACAGAAATAATCTGTCATTAGACCTTACTCTGCTTAGTAGATTTGGTCGCGATCGTATGCTCTTTTGTTTCTTTCATGGCAATTTTCTTGCCTTCTATTTCTTCATAGATGCTTGACAGATATTCTTCCGGGAGATCTTTACTATCGTTGATACCCCGATTCATTTTAATGTATTGTTCTTTTGTCATTTTATTTTTTACCTGAAATTTAAAAAAATTAAAAGCCATTTAGAAAACATCCAATGGCCCAAATAAAACTCCTTCTTTAGCTACTGTAATATATAAATCATTAAAATATCTTACCTGAGGGCTGTGCAAGTCTGTGGTTAGCATGATAATTGAGTATGCTAGGACATATGCAGTATCAGCACTAGCAAACAGGGTTTGCCTGGAAAAGAAGGTTCCAGATATAAGAACATGCACAGAGAAGAGGCTAATGGAGACACGCTGCACTGAAAACAGGCCAACTGTTCCACATGATGATGCCAAAGTAGTCAAGAGTGTTCATGGTTTTTTTTTTTTTTTTTTT